CTCACCCCCAAATGCCACCCCACCGGCCTGCTCGCCCCAAACTGCCCCCTGCTGCCAGCATGGTTGCCCCCAACTGCCCCACTCTTGCCAGCCTGATCACAGCTAACTGCCTCTGCTTTGGCCCCACCATCATGGCTTTGTCCAGAAGGATGTCTGAAAGGTCTCCCGGTCTAATTAGCATATTACTCTTTTATTAGTATAGATTAGTACAGATAGTAAATACAGTTTTATTAGACAGACACAAGCATTTCGTTCATATTGATCATGGCTGCTTCCAAGCCACTGTTGCAGAGATGAGTAGTTGCAACAGACACTATATATCCTGCTACTATAGATTGAATGTCTGTGTCCCCCTAAATAAAATTCATATGTTAGAACCTAACCCCCATTGTTATTGTATTAGGTGGTGGGCCTTTGGGAGGTGCTTAGGATTACATATCCCTCATGTGAAGGGGTTAGGGATAGGGTAAGGGTTAGGGTTCGTGCTTTTCTAAAAGAGACCCCAGAAAGCTCTCTTGCCCTTTTATGCCATGTGAGGACACACAGTGAAAAGACTGTTTGTCTTGGACTTCCTAACTTCCAGAACTGAGAGACATAAATTTCTGTTGTGTATCAGCATCCCAGTTTATGGTATTCTCTTAAGAGCAGCCCAAATGGACGAATACAACCCCAGAGCCTAAAAATATGTTACATTATCTGTCCCTTTATCAAAACAGGTTGCTCCCCTGAACAAAAATGAACATTTTGTAATAAAAATATTTGTGGTATATTATTAAGTGGAAAAGTCAAGACAGAAAACTATGCAGGATGATAGTTCACAAGAGGTGTGTCTGTATGTATGAGTTGGAAAAAAAGATATCGGGGGTGGGCTGGCCCTGCCTACCACCTGTGGCCCCTCCCCCCAGCCAGACCCTTCTCTGATTGCCACCCTCACCCTGATCGGGGGTGGGTCTGGCCAGCCAACCTCCTGAGTCCCCTCCCCCCGGCAGGCCGGGCCTGATCCACCCTGATCAGGCCCCCACACATGCACAAATTAGTGCACTGGGCCTTTAGTATTAACGTAAAATTCCAGTACAATTCCATTCAGAATCTCAGCATCTGCCCTCTTCAATGTCTCTCATTTCATATTTTCATTTTTGTGAAAAAAAACTGCAATGATGCGATACTGTTTTGTACATTATGACCACTGTTTTTCTGAGTCAGGAATATTATTATGAGTCTTTAATCTAGTAATATTAATATATATTGTATTAGCACAATTACAGTATACTTGCATAACAGACACAATGTTTTGACATCTCAATCTACACTATAATCACCCATACTCCACTGTATTTTAAAAGGGTGAGATCTGAAATCCACTTTCCTTGTTTTCAAAGAGTATAAATTCACTAGTGTGTTTTTTAATGTTAATGTGTGTTTAGTAATACATGTGTTAATTGAAACACTGTGATCTGCAAAGTAAAACTAAACATGAACAATCTGTAAAGAATGAATGTGACTGTTTTCCAACAAAACTACTTATGGACAGACACTGGCATTTAAATTTCAAATATTTTTACGTTTAATAAATTATTTTCACTTTAATTATTGTCAACTACTTAAAAATATAGAAACTCCTGAGCTTGTTGCCACACAAAGATGGGTGTTGGCAGGCTTCTAATCTTTGCACTAGACGAAAGAACTAGAGACACTGAAGATCAGTTGCAGGAAAACACAATTAAGGTTAAAATAAGAGAACATTCCAAATATTTTTCTAGTATTTAAAAGTAAAAACAGCTACTTTAGGAGGTAGCACATGCATTTCATAGAAAAAAATGTTAATCCAACCTATATGGCCATCAGTTAGAAATGATGAAAAACATATTTTTGAATAAAATGATGAGATATAAAGTTTCTTCCAGATACCATTTTACAAATAATTCTTTCCTACAATTCAAAACAGTTTTAATTCTAGGTTAAGGTAGGTAATTGCTACATTATTAGGGAAAGGGGGAAAGGAGAGAACTAATATATAATACATAATGGGTATATGGTTTATGTAAGAAAAACTCTGTGCAAAGTCAATCACCCAATCCATATTCAAAGAAATGTCCTTGGACCAACATAAAAATTGGTGAATAAATGTACATGGATATCTTTGGATATAAAATATAAAACTGCAACTGTTTATTTTCTAAAATGATTACTGGCTTTGTAGATTAAGTGACCAACAATGGACCCTAATTCCATAGAGATTATCCACTTCATACATTTAAAAATGACATCACACATTTTAAAATTTTTACCTCATAAAGTGTGTTGTATGTAGTGACAGTCACAGTATTTGTATGCAACATCAGCCTTTCTCCGAGAAGAGTGAAAAGACTATGGGTATGCATAATTTCAACTTTTCTCCTGGAGAAAAAGAGGTGAAAAAACAAACACAACACAATGCTATGAAACACATTGAATTTTCTATCTCATGACTTTGAGATTTTAAAAAAGTACAATCTTTAAGCAGATACACAATCATATAAGTAATAATCTTTAACTTCCACCTATAAAAAAATGAATTTATAGCACAGATATTTCCTAAAATTCCAATACTATTTAAACATTTCTCAAATAACATATCTGTGCAAACTAAAATGTGAAATATAAAAATTATAAAATATTATATAAATGTTGAGAGCTATTATTTTCAAATTTCTAATAACTATTTAGGAGTAGTTTTTATTAGTTTTGGATTTTTGGTTTCCCCTAACACAGAGACCACAGAATTTTTAAATCCTTTCTATTCAAATGGAAGTCTATAAAATAGTCTATGATAAACTTAAAATTATAATTAAAAGTGAATATTCTAGCTTAAAGTGGGGATTGCAAAGCCAAAATGAGATTGACAGAAGTGAAGCAGATTCATTATTGCTTGTACTCGTAGTCTGACATTGGATTAAAAAACCAATCAACCAACCAACCAACCAAACAAACCCTTTCTATATAGTTACTAACTGTTGGCTCATTTAACTGCCCCTCTCCCCCAATTCATAATGAGGATAGAAGGCTCTATTGAAGGCATCCTAGAACACTTAGCTCTAGCTCAGGGAATCATTATAAGCTTCTCATTCACTTCACTTTCTTAAAATCCAAGTGCTGGATCTTCTTGGTTCCCAAACCAATATATTTCACTTCTTTCTTTGATTTTCCATGGTTCCCTGTTTGGATTTGGCAACTATGACATAAAAGGACTAAGTAATCGCTAATTTCTTGTTTCTTTCTTCCTAAGTCTGAGACCACAACTGTACTACAGCTAGGTGTGACCATTTAACTGAAGACTGTGAACAGGAAAGTTCACATACCCTGATTTCCTTCTTCACAAAACAAGTGGGGTTTTTTTTTGGTTTTTTTGGTTTTTTTTTTGGATGGTCATAGAAATATCTCTTGTAACAAATTCAGAGAATATGTTGGAACAGGAAGAACAGGAAAAAGTAAAAAGAAACCTATAATTCTATTAACTCAAAGATAGCTTTAAATACCAGTTTATGTTATTCCAGATTACTATGAAGATGACACAAATATAATGATATACATGCAATGAAAATAATTCTGTATAAGGTAATTTGTTACTTGTGTCCTATAAATCAATATATTAAATTTTTACTCATTGCCTAGACGATTTGACTCAATGGATAGAGTGTTGACCCATGGACTGAATGATCACCGGTTCAATTTTGGTCAAGGGCCCTTACCTCAATTACAGGCTCAGCCCAAGTCAGGGCACATGGGGGAGGCAACCAATCAATGTGTCTTTCTCACATAGATGGTGCTCTCTCTTGGTCTCTCCCCCTCCCTTTCACTCTCTCTAAAAATCAAGGGAAATATATTCTCTAGTGAGGATTAACAAGAACAAAAAACATTTTTTACTGTCATTAAATATAATTGATATTAAGAAAGTAGCATAATAATCTAGTCACTACTGCTGGCCATTTGTTATTTACAAAAATTTTGACCCAAAACTTTGTGCCTTTATTTATATTTTGGGGCATATCCACGATTATTTCCTTAGGACAAATTCCTATAACTGAAATGATTTAGTAAAAGCTATTAGATTTAATTTTTTTTAGACTTATCAGTTTAAAACCTCTAGAAATATGTACATTCAAACTTCCACCATCAGAGTATAAATGCATTTTATAAGCAGTTTCAACTATTATTAATTTTATAATAATCATGAAAGCAGTCAATGTGATATGCAAAAAATAGAATTTTAATTTACAAGAAATGCTAACAAATGCTCACAAGTCTTTTGACCATTTACATTATTTCTAAGAACTGCCTGATGCCATTTTCTGACCATTTTTTAAATCTCTGTAATCACCTTTTTCTTACTGAGTATAAGAACTCTCATAATATAAAGGATATTACTTTACAAATAATTGACAAATATTTTCCACATTTTGAATTTCAAGGGGTGTTGTTGTCTTCTAGGCAATGAAGTGATTTAAGAAATATATATGAAACTAATTTTAAAAAAATTGTGAAATTGAGGTGACTTTCTCCACCCCCAAAATATACAATTTATTTTTTTAAATATCTATGAAGTTTAAAAAAGAAATTATGAATAAAAGAGTAAAACGCTAATATATTTTGACTAAACATTTCAGTTTTGGAAATTATTAATTTCCCATTAAATTAAAAACAGACGATTAGCACTCCTGCACTATATGTCACCTCCCATTTTTGTGATCTACATTGCTATTTTAACATCATCAAGGTTTAAAATACTTAGATTATGTTCATGTTAACGTTGATATATATTAGTTGTTAGATCTTGGCCTATTTTAAATTCAGTTCCTTGACTTTGTCTTCATCATTTCTGATTTCATTTACTTTTTATTTTAAATTCTTTATTGTTTAAAGTGTTACATATAATGTTACATATGTCTCCCTTTTCCTCCACTGAGCTCTCCCCAGCCAACCCTACCCCCAAGCCTCCTAGTGTCTGTGTCCATTGGATGTGCTTCTATGCATTCATACAAGTCCTTTGGTTGATGTCTTAACACCCCCCCACTCCCCCGCCTTCCCTCTGAAGTTTGATGGTCTGTTAGATGCTTCTGTGTCTCTGGATCTGTTTTTGTTCATCAGTTTATGTTGTTCATTATATTCCACAAATGAGTGAGATCATGTGATATTTATCTTTCTCTGACTGGCTTATTTTGCTTAGCATAAAGTTCTCCATGGCCATCCATGCTTTTGTGAATGGTAAGTTTTTGTTTGTTTGTTTGTTTTGTTTTTTTTGTTTGTTTTACAGCAGTATAGTATTCCATTGTGTAGATCTACCACAGTTTTTTAATCCACTCAACTGCTGGGTCGATTTCTGGGTTCTGCTCTGTTCCATTGGTCTATATGTCTGTTCTTATGCCAGTACCAGGCAGTTTTGAGAACATTGGCTTTGTAATATAGCTTGATATCTGGTATTGTGATCCCTCCAACTTTGTTCTTCTTTCTCAAGATTGCTGCAGCTATTCAGGGTCTTTTTTTATTCCATATGAATTTTTGAAGAGTTTGTTCTAGGTCTTTGAAATATGCTGTTGGTATTTTAATGAGGATTGGATTAAATCTATGGATTGTTTTGGGTAGTATGGACATTTTAATGATGTTGATTCTACCAATCCATGAACAGGAAATATTCTTCCATTTTTTAATATCTTCTCCTATCTCCTTTTTTACTTTTCTTTATTGATTAAGGTATTACATATGTGTCCTTAACCCCCCTTATTGTCCCCCCCACCCCACTCATTTGCTAACCCTCCTGATGTCTGTGTCCTTTGGTTATGCTTATATGCATACCCCACCCTCTCCTACCTTCCCTCTGAGGTTTGAGCAGTCTGATCGATGCTTCTCTGTCTCTGGATCTGTTTTTGTTCATCAGTTTATGTTGTTCATTATATTCCACAAATGAGTGAGATCATGTAATATTTCTCTTTCTCTGCCTGGCTTATTTCGCTTAGTAACACAAAATCAGAAATGAAAGAGGCGAAATAACAACAGACCCCACAGAAATATGAAGAATCGTAAAAAAAATACTATGAGCAACTCTATTCCAACAAACTGCTCAACCTAGAAGAAATAGACATATTTCTAGAAAAATAAAACCTTCCAAAACTCAATCAGGAAGAATTAAAAAATCTGAATAGGCCGATAACTATGGAGGAAATTGAAGCAGTAATAAAAAAACTTCCAACAAATAAAAGCCCTGGGCCCCATGTCTTCACAGGGGCATTTTAACAAGCATTCAAGAAGCATTAAAATCTATCCTCCTCAAACTATTCCAAAAAAGTCAAGAGAAAGGAACAATTCCAAACACTTTCTATGAAGTCAGCATTACCATAATCCCAAAATCAGATAAAGATACTACAAAGAAAGAGAATTACAGGGCAATATCTCCGATGAACACAGATGCTAAAATCCTGAATAAAATTCTAGCAAATTGGATCCAGCATTACATTAGAAAGATCATACACCATGACCAAGTGGGATTTATTCCAGGAATGCAAGTATGGTACAACATTCGCAAATCAATAAGCATGATACATGACATAAACAAACTGAGAGAGGAAAATCACATACTCATATCAATTGATGCAGAAAAAACATTTGATAAATCCAACACCCCTTCTTGATAAAAATTCTCAGCAAAGTGGGAATAGAGGAATTATACCTCAACGTAATAAAAGCCTTATATGACAAACCTACAGCCAGCATCATACTCAATGGGCAAAAACTAAAACCAATTCCCCTCAGAACAGGTACAAAACAGGGATGCCCACTCTTACTACTCCTGTTTGACATAGTACTAGAAGTGCTAGCCAAAGCAATGACACAAGAAGAAGAAATAAAAGGCATACAAATCAGAAAAGAAGTAAAACTGTCATTATTGACAGGATAGTATACATAGAAAACCCTGAAGTTTCCATCAAAAAACTACTAGAGTTAATAAATGAATTCGGAAAAGTAGCAGGATACAAAATTAACACCCAGAAATCTATGGCTTTTTTATACACCAATAATGAACTCACAGAAAGAGAAACAAACAAAAACCCCATTTATCAATGTTTTCATTCGTTTGACACATCTCTCAAATGAACAGATGTCATTCAAGAAGAAATCAAGAAGTCTGTCTTCTGAATTTTGACAGAAACATGTAACATTCTTGGGTCACATGTTCTCTTAGAACTTCTAGAAATTTAATTAATCCTTTGGCATTGAATTTAACTATAGAGAAGTCTAAGGCCTGTCCATGTTTAAGCAGATGATGGTGCCTTCCTTTCTTTTTTAGATCAGTGGTCCCTGAGGTCTAAAAGGTTGGTGACGGCCCTAACCGGTTTGGCTCAGTGGATAGAGCATCGGCCTGCGGA